ATCTCTCATGTCTAACTTGAAAAGATCTTGTGAGATCCTTTTTCCACATCAAAATTGCTTTTGCAGGCATCCTGGGTTTTGAGTTGCAGCTCAGATTTCTTCCCTGAATTATGATATCTGGCTTGCCACCTTGTACTACAGTTCTGGGACTTTGGCCCAGAAAAAGTAGGACAAGCAGTGATGGGAGAAGATTAGGATTTACTAACAACATACCAAGTCTTTGCAAATTGCAATATAAGTTATTTTAAGGTAAAAAACTAAGGCGAGACAATGGCCATCCTCATCAGCTATTGCTGACGCTGCATAGGAAAATTTCTTTAAGGAGTTTGTAGTCATATCAAAATATCTACATTAAGTGAACCAGTGTCTTCCTGCCTGCCCCTATGGTACTTGTCTGATTGCCTCTGGAAATGATCAGCTCTTCCTTGACTGCCATGTGCTGCCAACTGGACTACAGAATGTAGCTGGAAATGAAGATGTCATTTGGGAAGTTCAAATTTTCATTTCTTTCTCTCCATCCACCACCCTGAAGGTTTAGTGGCCTGCAGACATCTTCATATTGATCTGTCACCTTGCTGAACTTAAAGGGAAATAGGAGCCCTCTACTGCTAAGCAAAGATGGCAACTCCATAGTAAAGTATGCTGAGGAACCATGTGTGTACTCTGAAAAAGAACTTTTGTGTACTCAACACATCTCAGTAATAAAATTACCTTATTTCTGGTTTTTGCTGTACTTCCCATTTACTGCAAAACAGATGATCAAGCCATGATAGAAAATATAATTTAATAAAAGTATTGAAGCTACCTACAAGTTAAGAAGAAGTAGTTAATTTGCATTTTATTGTCTTCCCAGCTGTTCTTGATGGCATCCTCTTTTATTGATCACATCTCCCACCCTTGGACAGTGTCTGCTACCACCTGTATGCCACCTGTCTTTCCTGCTGAAACACAGAACCGTTCTGTTGGTGAGGCAGGAGCTGCACCTCCTTAAAGGCCTGCCCATATCTCAGCCTTGGATCACACCATCAAAAGAACTTCCTCCAGTGAAATTTGTACTGATCCTACTTGTGTCAGTCCTGTGACTTGTGAATCATACTAGAGACTATACAGTGCCTCCAAGGGCTTCCCCCTGTAAGGCAGTCCTTATCCAGAGGCCATAAAAAAACTCATTGGAGTCTTTAGCTTGCTCCATAGCTTTCTAGGGCAGATGCAGTTGTTCGGTGAGGTGCCCACAGCATAGGGGTTGCAATACATAACTATCCTGGATAGAGATGTAGCTTTGAGCTAATGGGAAATCAGCGTCGAAACAACTGAGCTTCTTGTTGCTGTGTATAAATTGGCATTGTCTGAATCCCTTCTTCCACAAGCTGACTTTGCTCTTTGGACTTCTGCTCCTCATCCTTCCTTCTGCCTCTGCTCCTCCCTCTGTCAATGGCAGTATAAACAACCTCAGCCCTGGCTCTTGTCAGTGGAGGGCTGCTCTTAAGAGGACTGCTCTTTTTGTACAGACCAGATGCAGCAGAACCATAAGGAAAAAGAAAAGGCCACCTCTTCTTTTTGTTCTGAGTATCCTGTGACAGCCTAGGATGGACTCTGTTGCTTGCTGCTTCCTGTATGCATCTGTCTGAATATGCATCTGCCCTGAAAATGTCTGAATATTCCAGTCTGACTTGAAAATGTCAAAGGCTGGCAGCTTGTCTTGGTTTCAAATAGAAGCTGCATCCTCCTCCAGCATGTGTGTGTGCTTTTTGTCAGGGAATGTGGGCCCCCTTACTTGCCTGCCTTGTGAACTACCTGAAATGCACAGTCAATGGATAGCACCTGTCAGCACATTTCACTAGACAGCTTCAGAGAAAAAAACAATTTAAATAATCATCTCTCTCCCCTGCGCATCAGGAAAGAGCAATAAAAAACTGGAGATAAAAGACTTTGAAGCCTTAGGACATTTCATCTCTTCTCCTTGGGGCAAATGCAGGTCTCTTTCCTATAGTGAACACATTTCAGGTTGTTCAGTATTAAATTTATTTAGTGCCAATACTTCTGAGGCTTCCCTTGGGAGGTTATTTTGTAATTTAATAGATGCCACTGTTGGTGAATTTTTTCGTTCTAATTTACTAAGCACTCAGTGTTTTTCATCTTTAAAGCACATTACAGGCATTAAATAATCTGCAGACAGTTACTGAGAGGTACCTAAGCCACCACCTCTCTCACCCTGAGCCTTTCTGTTAATAACATTGCAGGAACTCCATTCAACTTAACACGTTTTCTGCCATTAAATCAGAGTTTTTAGTATGGTAAAATGACAGGTCAGGCACAGAATATTTTTGTTTTGTTCTGGTCTTGTGTTCTTATTTTAATTTTTTTTTTTCCTCATTATTTCAGATGTTTCCTAATATTCAGCTCTAATAACGTTTTTATTTTGCCAGCTGCATCTCATTGTTCTTAGCTCTACCCAAAAACCTACTTCCTTCTTCCTTCACCTTTAGAGGCCTGCAAAGTGTTCATCGATGGCTATCTGATGTAGCTTTGTCACTGCAGGTCTCAGCTCCATCTTCTTGTTCTGGCATGCCTACCCTCCTTCTAGGCCATCTTCTGTGCTGACATCAAAGTTGTCTGGCACCTCTGATGACCAGCTTGTAGTCACATCTGTGTTTCTTCTCTCCTCCCAGCATCTAAAGCTGTTTCATTGCTCAAGGCAGCTGGAGAAATTGCTGCTGCCACATCTACATGCTACTCCATGTAGAACAACTCCACTGCAGCTCGGAACAACCTCCACATCTAAATACCTGAGAAACTTAACAGAACAGGACTTATCAGAAGGACAGGTGTGAGGAGATGACGCCAGAACCCATTAATGTCTTTATGGGAAGGAGAAATTTGCAAAGAAACTCTATTATGGATTGCCAACAAATTGAATGTCTTTTGTTAACCTGTTGTCCAAAATGCCCCAGTGCTGGCCTGAGGTCCTGTTATGTTGCCCTTGGCTAGCCTGTGTTCTCGCATCCTCACCCCGGCTGCTGGGCTGTAGGTGAGGAGACTGAGGTGGACAGTGATCTGCTCAGCTCTGTGCCCTCTGGCATTCCTTCTGCTTCCTGCATGAAGCTGGAGCCAGTGCCAATGTGTGATTTAAAGCAGATTGGTCAGAACTACATGTTTCAGGTCAGAAAGCCTGGGAGGCTGCTTTTAAGGGTTATGTGGTACCCCTGTCTTGCCCCTTTGGCATCTAAAACAGAGCCCCAGATGAAAGCATCTATTACACTTGACTGCTGTGTTTGGGAGCACATATATTTGGTCTAGATTTTGACTTGGAGACATTAGAAACCAGCTCTTGACTGGAAGAATGCTCCTGTCTCTTCAAGCAGTCTTTAGAGTGCTGCATGCTTTCAGGCAAGAATTGCCTGTGCCTTGCCTGTGTGAATTGTCCTACATTTCTGCTACCTTGCAATGTGTACACAGCTAAAAATAGCAGTGGCCTTTTAACCATCACATTGCACACTGAGCATTTACCTGATAGCAGGCAAGCAACCAGCACAAGTAGGAAAATCAAGGTAGCGATCAAAATAGCATTTGTCTGCTTTGTTTTTCTGGTAATTCCTCTTATGGATTGGGCTGTCATTTTAAATGTAGCAAGTGCCTGTATATGCGGCTTGCACCACTCCAGATGGGAAGCTCACCTGTTTTGCATTTTATAATCTTGTATTTCAGGGCAGTGTTTAAAGCTGTTGCCTTTTTAATAGTTAAGACCAGAACAGAATTATACACTGCCTCAGACCCAACAAATAGCTTCAAGAAGTATTTGCCATAGGGACCTTGTGTTTTTAATGTTCTAATCTGCCTCCAGTTTTCACTTGGGTTAGCCTGCACAGTGCAGAGCTGTATGTTACCCTGGCACACCTGGCAGAGCAGATCAGAGTTTAGTCTGATGTTATATTTCAGGTCAGCTGGAAAACACAGTTTCAGTCACTGCTGTAAACATATTCAAGTCAAAGTCTGAAAGAAAATCCCTCTGTATATCTGAATTATTAGCTGACCTTCTCTGCTGAATGCCCCAGAATGAAATACTGCCCACCAGTTTACTGGCTGTGAAACTGGTGTTTGCATTTTGGGATGATGATCTTGAAGGAAGGCAAGTATCCTGCACAATTTTACTGACAGCACTTGCCTTCCACTGGCTCCTACTCTGGGAAGTTTGCACTCCATTTCGGTTTTGTCAGCAAGACTAATGCCAGCCCTCCTGAGCGTCGTGGGAACTGAGCCAGTATGTTCCCCTGACAAAATCCCTAAGTCACGCTACAGTAGCTATTGCAAATCGACCTTCAGAAGCTACTATTCCATAGCCTGGGAATGTGAATATCTCACCTTGGTGAAAGTGATGACACAGGACAGTTTTGTTGAAAAGTGATAGAAGCAAATGAGACATCTGGAGGTGCACCTTGTTGTCCAAAGCTGAAATGTGCAACTGGATGGAGATCCTGTGGCACGAGCAATGCTCGGCATTTTAATGTTATTCCCTGGTTTGTGGCTTCCTGAACTCTTGCTTCCATCTTTTGTCTTTCCTACTCCCAAAATCTGTGCAACCAGGCAACAAAGCATTTGGTTTACTTCAGTTGTTTACATTAACAAACCTAATGAAAGCAAAACTACTGCAAGCAATCTCAAAATGGTCACAAATCCTGGTTTTTAGTGTTGTAATCTAGGGCAGGCAGACAGTCTCTAGGCATATAAATCAAGGCACTGGAAATATCAGAAAATATATAGGCAGGTGATCATTCAGTTAAAATACATGGTACATAGAAAATTATCATAGCAAACCATTCTGCTAGCATTCAGTCTGTATGAATTTTATGATTAACTTTGTAGTATAAACAGGAAAATTGCAGTGGTTTGAATTTCCATTAAGAGATGCCAGAACTAACGACCTGCCTGTTGCTTTGTGGTGCAGGCTAGAAGAAGAATAGATGAAATGTTGCCATCTCAAGGGACATGACTTTGAATATGCTTGCAGAAGAAACAGTGGGAGCAAATATCCCCCAGGCTGTTTGGCCTGGCTATGCGTCTTCCTCTCTGGCACAATGTTAAGCGTGTTTTTAAGTATGTATCTCTAAAGTATGCCTGCCCTGAGAACTGCTTTGTTTTCCTGTCATTTACTTTCATTTCCTTACCTATGTTTGGCACTCATGGGGGGAGTAGAAGGGTTGAAATCACCACTACTTGCATTGTGTATAGCAGTGTTTACAAGTACTGTTATAACTAAATTATTTAGCCATCCAACCAGAGAAGCTAGAAAAGGCTTAAAAAAGTCCCCCTGACACACCAGCTGGGACTGCTGAACTTCACTGAAGGAAAAACTGAAGATGCTTGACTGGATCATATCTGTTTATTATGTCTGGTTTAATCCTTTCTTAAGATAAACATCTCATGCCAGTCAGTCTCTTTTCAAACAGAAGGGTTTCTGTGCCTCCAGTTGTTCTCCCTACCACCTCACCATCTGGTCTAACCTCGGATCATAAACCCCAAAATGTTAACTTAGATATGAGTGTTATCAGTCTGTGTTCAAACATGGACCATACCGAAGCCTGATAATCACAAAGACAGATGTTTACAAGACTCTGCATAAATGAGATTGAAGTGGACACTTTGAGCTAATGGGGTCATAGCTAGTGAAGGATGAGAAGTAACATTTCCATTTATACAGCACAAAACTAGAATGTTCCCATGAATCTTCAGAACGTTTGTCCTCCACAACTGTGGATTGCCAGGTAATGCATCCAGATTTAAAAGAAGCCTAAAAACAACCCTCAAAAGCTCACCCCCTCCAGGGTACTTCAAGCTACAGAACATTTCTGTAATACACAACAAAGTGGCTCAGGCAATATCCTGCAGGATGAACCTTGTTCCTAGAGGAAAAGGGACAGTATTGTTCTGCCAGTGAGTGACTCTTGCCCTAACAGTTGATTGTCTTTGTGTATTCTCTCTGGTCAGGGAATCACCTACAAATTGTCCGGAGAAAGAGGAAGGGACCAAAGCCCCTAACACTTCCAGTACAAAGGCCCTCAAATTTAATGTTCTACATGAGCATAGCAGTAGAACAGAGATGAAGAGCATTGCCAATGTGTTATATGAGGCATGCAACTTCAAGCACTCTGTTAAAAATGCTTCTATTACATTTAGTATTGCAGCTTAAATTTAAGAGCTAGATATGCTCAGATCAGTATAAATAATTTAGAGTTTTTAGGGGAGTCATGAGAAAAGTATTTAGTAATTTTTTCAAGCTACATAGCAGTTTTATGTTTGTTACCATGTTAATCCCTCATAAATATGTTTTCCTGAGCATTGTTTTTTATTGAATGCTAGGATTAGTGCAAATGAAGTTCATAACAAAAGTTTTATATCATACAAAATTGCAAAGCACAGATGCCAAGTAAAATAGCTAGCAAGAGTGCTGGAACAACGCCCTCACAATCTGCCCAAGTGGACCTTAGCATTGCATGTATGGGCAACCAGAATGCCTGGGGGCTTCCCCATGGCTCGTGTGCAAATAATTAGAAGTTTGAGAGAGAGAAGAGTGACTTGGTCCTGCACAGCACAAAGCTGCCACGCTCCCAGTGAGCAAGGTTAGGATGGAGCATTTGCTTCCCCAGAAGCTGAGTGTCATGTTCAGTGTAAACAGCTATATTTTCATTCATTTCAGGTCCTCTGTATTCCTCAGGTTGAACGGTTAATGAATAGCTGTTAGTGAATTCTATATGGCTTTTCTGTACTCCACACAGGATTGGGCCCCATTATTCAGGAAGAAAATGCATTTTATTTCATTCCGTTGCCTCCTTATGGGATTGCCATGTACATGCAGACAGATACAGAAAGGCACATGATTTTTCTACATATAGAGAGGTGGTTGTCATAGAACCATAGAATGGTTAGGACTGGAAAGGACCTTAAGATCATTTAGTTCCAAACCCCTTGTACAGGCAGGGACACCTTCCATTAGACCATGTTACTCAACCCTAACCCTAACCCTAACCCTAACCCTAACCCTAACCCTAACCCTAACCCTAACCCTGTCCTACCTGGGATACTGCCAGGGATGTAGCATTCACAACTTCCTTGGGCAACTTGTTCTCGTGTCTCACCACCCTCACAGTTAAAAACTTCTTCCTTATATCTAACCTGAATCTCCCTTGTTTAAGTTTTAAGACATTACCCCCTGTCCTATCACTACAGTCCCTGATGAAGAATCCCTCTCTGGCATCCTTGTAGGCCCCCTTCAGATATTGTTCTCTTCTCCCAAGTAAAAAGTGGTAAGACAAAAGGAAATGGCCTCAATTTGCCCCAGGATGAGACTTGGATGTTAAGAAAAAATGGGGTGAATCCCCATCCCTGGAGATGTTTAAAAGATGTGTAGATGTGACACTTAAGAACACGATTTAGTGGTGGACTCGGCAGTGCTAGGTGAATAGTTGGACTTGATGATCTTAAAGGTCTTTTCCAACCTAAATGATTCTGTGATTCTACATGCTGATTCTTAGCACTTGAGCAGGCCAAGGTGTTCCTGAAGCTAATATTCAAAGTTTAACATAAATGTAATTTAGCTGGTGCTAGTGATCTGAAATGAATACAAATTCTCCAATGAAGCATGGGCAGGTGTGTATGTTGGCAGGGAATAAATGTGATTTCCTTTTGGTGCATGCAGTGCTTCCCTTCCTTCTCACTCTGGGTGTGTGAGCCCATGGGAATCTGGTTTTGGAGCTTTTATATATGAGCTCTTCCACTTTACAAGGGGAAGAGAGAGAGAGAAACATAGACAAGGAGTTCTAGCTGAGGGCGGTACTGGTGAATAAAGGTTGGATATGAGATGGAAATGTGCGCTTGCAGCCTGGAAGGCCAATCATATCTTGGGCTGCATCCAAAGGAGCATGACCTCAAGGGAGGTGACTCTCCCCGTCTACTCCTGGAGTGCTGTGTCCACTTCTGGAGTCCTCACTATAGGAAAGACATGGACCTGTTGGAGAGGGTCCAAAGAGGGTCCAGAGAAGGGCCACAGGAATGATCAGAGGGATGGAGCACCTTTCCTATGAGGAAAAGCTGAGAGTTGGGCTTGTTCAGCCTGCAGAAGAGAAGATTCTGGAGAGACCTTATTGTGGCCTTTCAGTTCTTAAAAGGGGTCTATTAGAAAGATTGGGAGAGACTTTTTAATAGGGCCTGTTGCGCTAGGATGAGGAGTAAAGATTTTAAACTAAAAGAGGGGAGATTCAGGCTGCACGTGAGGAAGAAAGTTTTTACCATGAGGGTGGTAAAATATTATGGCCCCTATACAAGTGCTTTTCCTTCTCTCCATAAATCTCCTCCTGCATGGGTAGCTGCTGGCTTTAGCAGTCAGGCTATTTGCTGGCCTTGGATAGACACATGGTAACAGGGAAGTTAAATGGCCTGCCTGCAGTCAGAAAGCAGTGTCTCATTCCCAGAAGGTTCTTGCTTTTCCAAAGGCGGTTGACTTCCTGCCCATGGAAGAGATATGCCTACTTTGATGTTTAGAGTTTAGAAAAAGGGGCTCTCAATCTGTGTTCAGACTGCTAGATTCTGCTGATGCTTTTTAATGGATCTGTGGCAGGCGTTGAGGAAAATCAAAGTTGTTATCACTAGGCTGAACTGTACTATACTGGAATCCTCAGCCCCCCTGGAAAATTTTCAGAGTCCCCCATACTTAGGAAAGATGGAACACCATTGTATTGAGATTGTGATTTATAAGAGCTGGAATAATAGTTCTTATGAGGAAAACTTCAGGGTAAATGTATCCCACAGTAAACTTGTAATGCCACTAGAGGCTCAATTCTAGACAGTTATTTTTATAAATATTAATTCCTTCATATTAACTATTTCAATCTTTGTAATTTAATAAAATTAGTATTTGTAGTAGTGATTATTAGTTGTATGATCCAATATTACAATCATATATTAGAAATTAAATATTCTAGTGACAGATTAAGTTCTGCATTTTTGGTGCTGTGACTTTACAACATCTTAGTATTGTAGTGTTGAAATTTATTTATTCTCCAAAGAGCTTTCCTTGTATTTCTGAAACATGGCCAACAGCCTTTAGTCTTTCTATTAAATTTTGCTTTTTAAACTTTGTGCAGTCCTTTATCTGAGGAGTTTAAATAGACCACGACCCTTAGGAAATAAATCTCGGCAGCCTCACAGACAATAAGATAAGGCTGGGTAATGCTCATTTCTTTTGTTAACAGGGAGATATGCCAAGAGGGCAGTGATTCATTCTTTTACCTCAAACACTGTGTTTAAGTTTCTTGCATTCAGTTGTGTAATAGAATGTCCTCCTCCTATGAAGCAGCACTAGCTCATCTCTTCCAGGAAGAGTGGCCAGAATAGTCAGTGAATGCAGTAAATGGTTTAATTGTCATCAATACTTTGAAAGTATTTTTAAATTTTGGGTGAAATTGGTTTATGGATTGGTTTTTAAAAGTTGCCTCTGTCGGTAGAGATCAGGGTAAGAAATGGTGACAGGCTCGAACCACAGCATCCGAAACAAAAATGCAGTCTTGAAAGTGTGGGTTGTTTATATTGAGGGCTCCACATCATCCAATTGTAGTGAGGAAGGGCAGACACCTGTTTGGATTTCTTTCCAGATTTCCTTATATATGAGAACAATTTTACATGTGGGAGTTTGGTTTGGAGCCATTTGCAGTTACAACGGTATACAGCTGCAGAAGAGCAGAGACAGAAAGGTGAAGGTTACATGGAGGAGCAATTATTCATAGCCACAATGCAGGAATAGACAGGATGTTGGTAAGGTTGCTTAGCAGCTGTATTCACAGAGTCCAAGCTCTGATGTGTTTTCATCAAGGATCTAATGTGCTTTTTGTTAAAGTAAAGCTATTCATGGTGTAGGAGGATATATTTAAAGAAAGAATGGCGTATTGGGCTTTTCTCTTAATTAAAGCACCATGTCACTACCCACTTACCGCTAAGTCCTCATATTGAAACTGAAAGCAGGGCTGACCACATTCACCTGCTTTTGAACCACTGCTTCTTACAATAGGCTATGTCTTACAGCTTTTGCTCTCACTGGCTCTCTT